TTTTTTTAAATTGCTGAATGGTAAGCAGAAACTTGAGTTTTGAACAGATGGATTAATCAACAAACTCTGGAGTAACCATGTTAAGACTTACCAATTTGAGCAAAGTCTTTGTTTTTGATCTTTCTTATTTTGTTGAAGCGTGCATACAAATAGGCTGTTTCTTTAGGTAGTGTGGGAATGGAGGTCATGTCTGGACTGACCTCCTCACAGTACACCGAGCCAGTCAGACACACACACAGCAGACAGGTGGGAAGGTCTGCAACACAAAGGCATCCATAAAAACCAAGGCGGCTTCAAAGTCTATATGGCCTTACTACATTTAAGCCATAAGTAATTGCTTTTTATTTTGGGCACTAGAGTATGTCTCAGGAGAAGGCATGAGGCAGGGTACACCCTGGGCAGTTGATCACAGGGACAATAAATAGAGACAGACTACCATAAATTTACACTAGTGCTATTAGATTAACAGATGTTTACCCCATGGTGGTCAGACATATAAATGTCTGACTGTTGTGACACAAACAACGTAAAGAATTATTAAGAACAAGAAATTATAACTTAAGAAGTATGTCTTTGGCTTGTGGGGGAAACCAGAGCACTCAAATGAAACCCATACATGCACAGAAAATACAGTGCCCCAGCACTCTCTCTCTCTCTCTTATACACACACATAAATATATGAGAGAGAGAGAGATAATATCTTTTTTTGTATCTTCAGTTCCAAGGTAAAGGCCTTTATTCAACCTTTATTTTTAAATGTACATTACAAATAAGTTTATCTGGGCTATACAGTTTCCATCAGTAGTCTTTAGTAGTACAAGTAGTAGTAGTAGTAGTATTTAGCATAGTTTATTCTAGTCACTAAAGTCTCTTTTCAATGTCAGTCCTTGGTAAACACAAGTAAGCAGTAATAATCTGTTAAGGCATTTAGTTTTATATTTAGTTTAGTTTTGTTTTCCCACAAGTGTAAATATGAAGCAGTGTTAGAAATTTAGGATATTCATCTAACAATGTGAGTGGTGTTTAAATTTTGTCCCAGGTGTCCTTCCAGGTAAGATGGACAACTTTGAACCTCTCTTACTATGCACAATAGGACTGCTGTTTTGGAGCCAAGGCCAAAGATACTGTTTTAATTCTTTCGTGTTCTTTCACATTCCAAAATCTCACAGTGTATACCCAACTTAATAGGTATTAAACCTTACAAAATCCTAAGCTGTTTGAGATACTCAAGGGATTTATTGTTATGGACACTATGAATTGCATCAAGGTATTGTTATCCAGCTAAGCATTATGGAGTTCCTTGCCAGCATGTGCTCGTGATTTCAAACAATTAAAGGCGAAAGCTTGAATGTTAACCCAGACAAAAGGACCATGATCTGGTTCATACTCTTGGTGTAGTTCATAATCTTGGTCCAAGGAATGTTCATTGTTCGTCGACTTTAACAATATTATGAAGGTCTAAGAAAGATCAAATCTGAGATGCATTTTCTTGTGTGTGACATCAGGTGCAGGTAGAGTAGGTCTTTCTCTTACCAGCGGCATCTGCTTCCGCTGTAATTGGGTTGTCATCAGGTTCATCAGCAGGAGGCAGCGCCCTCTGCAGGAGAAAACATGGCCTGTTCATATAACGGCCAGATCATTGGCTAGAGCAAAACATCAACACTGCTAGGGTTAGGTCAGTTTGGAAAAATGCTTAAATATTACAGTATATCAAATTTGAGGTAGGAACCGAATAAATGTTATACAACAGTGTAAAAGTATATGCATTGCCTTGTGCTTGGCTCAACTTGCAGCAGCTAGCTATAAGAGATTCCTGAGCCTGAGCTTTTCATCAGCTGTTAGTTATACAGGGTCGCTGTGTACATAGCTTTGACATAATGAGACTGTAAACATTACAGCTGCCTGTTTTGGTAGGTTCATATTGCAAAAAGTGCAAGTAAGAAGATGAACCAGTATGTCTAGTTTCATTTACAGCTCTTTGAGGGTTTAGTAACACTGCAAGACTGTAGATCAAGGAACCAGAAGCCAGAATTTTTCAACTCAGGCTAGTTATCATGGTCTCCAGTCTCCAGGTGGGTTTCAACAGGAATACGTGTTGGGATTTATGTGACTGGCGAGATCAGTACACTGTTGGATGTTTGTCTCTATTGTGCGATGGATTAGCCAGATTTTGTTTTGTAGCTTTGCTTTGGCCTGAGTTGCCACATATTCTCCGTCAGTATGCCAATACAGCATTCCTTTTCTAAAATGAATGAAGATGCTGCAATTTGTGACAGAGTAGCCAAACTCCAAGAGGATACTGGCTGAGAACTTGAGGAAATTGTTTCTTTTTTTTTTTTCTACAGTGGTTAGCATTATCGCCTTACAGCGAGACAGTTCAACACCATAGTTAGCTGAGGCCAACAGGAATGTGGATTTTGTGTTCTCCTTGTGCCTTTGTAGGTCTCTGTGGTGGGGCGTGGTCTGCGGTGCCGTGCGGACGCACCTGCATGGCATCCGCAATCACGCCCGCCGTGTTAAAACACAGGGACTCAGGGGTTGGGGTTGGTGTTGTGGTGAGATGTCAATAAAGATGGCTCTGAATGATACCCTGTGGTCCCGCCGTGCCTTATTTTTGCCACAGTCTCCTTCAGGTAATCTGGCTACTCTCAGTCCAGACATTTACATGTAAGGTTAAATGGGGATAAACTGCCTGTGGATGTAAGACACATGAAGTGCTTAGAATAAAGCACTGTATGCGTATATAGGTAAATGTAAGTTGTAGTGTAGAGAACTTTGAGCTGTCAGTAAGACAAGAAAAAAGCTATAGTAATTGCAGTCTGTTTGTGGGAATGTGGGGAATTTATTGTCCAAAGTTGCTGGCTCTGATGTATGATACTGTTCATATATGGTCAGAACTTGTCTTCTGAAGTACTCCCAGTGACTAGTGACCAACCAGGGTTTGTGAACTGAAACCTGGGTAATATTGTAGTGCTGCAACTTGAAAACTAAAGAGAATTAGGTAGGTGGGTTTTGTGCATTCTTAAGGGCATTTCATGGTGCATGGAAACCACATATTGGACAAATCCCATGATAGAAAAAATTATGTGAGGTTTTCAAAATGAAGAAACTCCTCTTTTTGGATTTTTGGAGATTTTCTATGTGAGCATGCTTATACTAAGAACACGACCGAAGATGGAGAACTATACAGTACCTATAAAGCACAAAACTCAAATTTAAGTTATATGGACCCATATGGCTACGCAGATGACGAAACGATATGTTAGTTTTTAGCGTTAAAAAAAAGTCTAGGTATGTTTTGAGATTTGAGGCAGTGGACCTACCCTAATTTAACAAAACCACAAATCTGGAATAATTCAAAAGGTCTTTGGCCATTTGTTGTGTGATTGTTTGAAAGTGTCTTATAAGGTGGTGGAACAAAGCAATATGCTGCTGGAGGTTACTGCAAAGAAAAAAATATGCTAGCTTTCTTCATTTAGTTAAACAACAAAAGAACTTGTGACATGGCTGACCGTTTTTAGTTTGAGTTATATTTCAGTCTTCTAGCTGAGTGAAGACGAAGGCACCTCACAAAAGCATGTTTGCAAACATTAAGCATTAGAGAAGGAAACTAGAATACCTTTACATAACTCATAAACAAATAGCATCATTATTGAATAGCCTTGAGCAAAATACGGGCTCCATTCCTACTGCTGAGTCCCTAAACCAACTGACCTGGTGTCGAGCCAGTTGAAAGAAAGAAGAAGAGCTTTGCACATTGTGGATTAAAAAGTTAACATAATAACCTTTTGGTAAATAGCTAATTGTAGCAGCACCAATAGGTATAAGGTCTGTCACTGAAAAATGAAAAGCAGCTGGTATTCAAACTGAAGTTATGGTTCCATAGCTGTATTGTGTTGTCACACTCCACATTTGTCTCACTCTCTCTCTCCCTGTGGATTGTTTGTGGGTTTTTCTCTTCCTTCAAGTGTTTTCTGAAGGAGAAATCAGACCAGATTTTGGTTTTAATCCATCCAAATATTTCTTAAGGGGGTTAGTGTGGTTAGAACAGGGTTAGTGTGGTCGACCCAGGGTTGTGTTTTGGTAAGACTCCACAGAAATGGGTTGTGTATGTGTGTTGGAGCTGTGAGCTTAATGGATTATCTGTTAGAAGAGGAGGACAGTGAAATGAAGTGCTAACAGATGCTGCCATTACCAAGTAGCAGAAAGTGGATTATCAACTAAACCATGAAGTGGATTAATTATTGCTTGTGTAATGTGGTAGAATTAATTGATTTTGAATGTGCCCAGCTATTAAGCAAACCTTCTTTCTCCCTCTTTGTAAAGCATTGCTCAAATTGCGTTTTCATTTTATCCAACCTGCTCTCAATAAAGTTTTCTGGTTTTGTCTGGTTTCACTGCAGTCTTGAAACTATGCCTCTTATTCATTAAGAATAAGAATATTATCCTTGTGCCTTTGATTTATTTCAATATGCATGCCTGGTCATTATTGGAATTATTTATCTTTGGTGTGTCAAAATAACCACCTTTTGTCATTATTTAACACTGTGACAAATATAAAAAATGATCTTCTGAGTTAATGCTGTCAAAACAAACTTTTTAACATCTTGATTAAAAAAAATGACAAAACTTTAACAAATTAAAAAAGGCTAGAAAAATAAAAGAAAACACCAACAGTAGTAGATATAATCACATAAATCCATCCCAAAGAAATAATAATACAAATAATAAAGTTCTCACCCTAGCCCTCTTTGATTTTAAATAGTCACTGAAGTATCCATTCAGTTGACTGCCAGCTAGAGATCCTGGTATCAGCTGTGAGTTGTGGTCGAAAGTCCTGGCTGAGGCTGCCATCAGCCATGGCACCAGCATACAGGTGAAAAAGAGCGTCTTCATGCTGTCCAAAACAGTGTGATGCAGACACACCAGCTCGCCTTAAAGTCTGAGTTTGGGTCAGCAGCTGCTTTTTGCCACAAGCCCCTGGTTGAATGTGTCAAATGACTCTATTTAAAGGCTGAACCAGTAGCTTCCAGCAGACTCTTAAAGCAGAGTTTATAGAGCGCAGCACTTAACCCTTTCCTGACCACCCACCATCCATCTGCTGAGAGACAGACTTGGACACAGACAGGATGTACAGTGAGAAGCGCACACACCAAAATGAGGCACATATGGAAAATGATGAGAAAGAATAAAGTGTCCATTTTTCTCCTAAATGTCCCTAAGTGTGTACAGGAAAAAAATATGCAGAGAAAGCAGAAAAACCGAAAGTTGACAACCAAAGTGTGAGTGTTTTTTGTCAGAAGGAATGTCTGTGGTCTCTGCCCAGCCACTCTGTAATGACTTATAATAACCAACCTATCTTTCATTAGGCTGGATCAGTGTTTTTCTTCTTCTCCTACTATGTTATTCTCTTAGCCGTTGGTCAGACAATTCATTTAACAGCCATCAAGTAAGCACTTCTTATAGGCTGGGATTTACCAATATTCATGTTTTCTTTCTGGACAGCTCTCTCAGTAACTAATGTTTCAGGCTGGAATTGCTTTTAGTTAGTCATATCATCATTTTAAAATTATTAACAAAAAATGATCTGCTCTCTGCTGATATGAAGCCATAACAATCATCTACGCAGTTGTATAGGTAGAACTTACCTTTTTAATTAATGATGATTAGGGGCTGCAGAGGGACGTAACAGTCTTCTTTAAGATTCACATTAAATTTTTGGAAGAATGCTGCTTGATTCAAGCAGCCATTGCAAGTGATAGTCATGGCACTCAGTCATGAATTAAAATCTGTGGCAGATGATGATGATGATGGGAAACCGTCAATGGTGGAAAAAAAGATTTTTAAAGCCTTATTAAGTCAGCAAATTATAAGTGGCTTTTGGCAGATTTGACTGATAATTCTATACATGCAGTCCTTATGTCTCCATGACCACTGAAATTAAAGGTAATTTATGTCATTCTTTAAATTAACTACCAAAATGAGTGCCCAGAGACTTGCTTCTCAAAGGACTTTAAGCATCTGCTGAGTGTTTTCTGTATTTAATTTTTTTCCCCTCTAGCATTGTTGTATAATACCTAAAAGCAAATATTGGTGTACTTAAGGTCTGTCTTGTCAGATCCCGTTAAGGATGTCCTGTGGGCATGTTACCCACTTTTAATCTTGTATAAGTTAGGGTGTAATGATTATCCAAATTCATGGTTCGCTTCATGCCCTAGTTGGGCCACAATTTTGGCTTTTGATGTTTCGGTCACTGTTTAAAACTTAAACTGTAACACTTATAGTGAAACCATATGACATTTGTGTGTGACATTTCCACATGTGACATTTCCAGTTGCCTGAAGCTACTGTAGAGGCTCATAGTCTAACATGTTACTGATACACTTTATGATGATTTTTTTTTTACCTTCATTTGTTATCCTGTTTGTGAAATTACGGGAGTAATATCTGAGAAGCAATTCTTTACTTCGGATATGATGTAGCATAAGCAGCTGTGCACAGACTATGTCTTCATCTCCCTTGAAGTCATTGTGCGTTTTTCATAGACTTGACTTATTGTAGAATCATTCAAGATGGTAAGCATACTAGCATTTGACGTTATTTTATGAAGTTTTAAAGCAGTGCAAGTGTTAAAAAAGTGTTCTGTCAGAACCACTCTCCTACTGTTGCTGACCAAAGGCGCTTTATCAGTTAAACTGAGGACTCGTGACTGGGTGAGCCTGGGCCCAGGACAGTCCCTCCAGCAGGAGCATTTGGTTTCTTTATTTCTTCCTTCCTGATGTTGGGGTGTCTTGAATGAAAATGTTGTTCAAATGTTCAAAGGCTTCTCTTCTTTGAACGTTTTAGTTTGAGTCCTGCTTTCTGATGTGTAAGCTTTGTGTTGGGACTTCTCATTTATATAGTTTTTGGTTGCATTTAGGTCTTAAGTTCTTGGGTACATATGTTCAAAAGTGGTGTGGGAGGACACTAGATATTATTTGTATAAAAATTTATAATATTTTTATGGTGCCTAAATGGTATAGAGGCATTTAGAGGTATTTCATTCAACAACTTAAATCACAGGCTGACTGACCAGTAGATTAAACAGACTGTTATAGCAAGGAATCATTTGTATCAAAGGTAAAGTAAAACTTCTGTTCTTGCCAGCAGTTTCCTGTAAAGACAGTCCAATACAAACCTTATCATGCATCATGCAACTGTAAACAATAAAATGCTTGTAATTGATGATTAAATTTCTTGTATTTTTGCCTTAAAACCCAGTATGATTTGTATAAGTTAACTGCAGTCCATCCAAATGCATGTAATAGGTAAGCTTAGGTATGACATCAGATTTGATGTATTTGGATATTAGCTGTTGAATGGTTAATAGAGTAACATCATAGCAGCAGTCACACTATACTTGGTCGCAAGACCATTATAACAGCTGACTTTGAACCTCTCTCACTGTTATCGATATGTTTCCCTTACATTGGTCATGTTGACATAAGAACAGCCTAATGTCACACAGAGTTCAGTTTTAGCCCTCTTGAAGACCATATTCAGAGCAGTCTGTTGCCTGACATAACTGGGGGGGAGGGTGTGAACCATGTTTGAGGCCAAAGCACTTTGCTGTAAGACAATAAATTGACACAGGTTTAGAGTTGCTGACTCAAGTTAAGGAGTTCAAGTATGCATATTAATTATTTATCTATTAAAATTTTTGCCAAGCAGTAAAACTTAAGGCAAAATGTGAATGTGTTCTTGTTTTCTGGTTGATGAGAGAAAAGTGGGCACAGCAAATGCTAACATAAAACAAGGATCTATGCACTCAGCATTCTGGTCATATCTCAGCCGTTCAGCATTTTAATCAATACATCTCTTTATTTTAGCATCGGTCAGACCTCCACAGGCTTGTGTTTTAAAAGTGTAATAAAGTACTTAATTGGCAATAAGACATCAATAAATAACAGCTAATATGGTAAACATGAAAAATGTCACAAATAAATTAAAAGCAGAATTGCTGGGAAATGAACAAAAAAGGAAAAACCTATGGGAGTATTTTCCAAAGCAGAAAGGCCAAGAGATTCTTAGTAATAAAACCAGAGAGACTCTTAGGCTATTTAACAGCTGTTGAGGTCCAGCTGTTCTTGTCAGAGAAATCACAGAAATGTTGGACTTGTCCAGAGCAGTTCTTAAGAAATTTATTTTGTGTGTGTCTGTGTGTTTTTCATAAAAATATATTGAAATTAAAATGATCTATAAAAGGCAGTACTTCTCTATAAACAAGTAAAGCTGAAGAGAAATGACTGAAGTGTAAGAGGAAAATGGTTAAATAGGAAACATGTGACCATCTCAGCCTTCAAGAGTAGAGGAAAAAGAAGGGGGCCCAGATATAAACATCCAAGGAACATGAGCCCAGACTGTTACAGGTGTGTTAGCAATTATGAACACCTTTAAACTTTTATGACTCTGGGAAGAGGGCCAGCAACTAGAGAATGTTTTTACTGTCACTAATTTTCTATACCACAGTTGGGCTGTCAGGGTGTTTCACTGGTATTTCACTCCACAACAAAGGAATCACTCGGGAAAGCCACCCACAATAACACACTAAACGCACATTATTCCCGCCGTGTTGGGAATGTTCCTGTCACGCTCAATCTGTTTGTGAACATGAATAAACCTTTTTAAAGCCATTGAATTCTTGTGTACCACTACAGAAACACGAACACAGAAAATAATTCCTGTGTTGATTGACCTGGTGGATGACTAAATGAAAGCGAAAGGGTTGTAAACTCAGCCTTGAGAGTTGGACAAGAGAGAAAGATTTTATTCTCTTAACTAGCAGCACCAATTTTTGAGACTGTACTGGACTTGGTCTAAGTGTCCCAAATCAAATTTAACAACAGTCACCCAGTCGTGTTCTGTGCACACTAAAGATGCCCAGTGGGGTTTTCTTGTAAACAGCAAAAGATGTTTACATCCAACATTTCTCAGAACATGTGGGGTGTATCTTCTGAGGTTTACCTAACATATTGAAAACATTTACTTCCTCATAAAACTCTGGGAAAGCTAATTTTTTAAATGGTTTGCATCGTTCACGTATGCAGCTAAATTCCCTATACTTTTGCTTACTCTTCTGAAAGCTCTCTCCATTTTTGTTCTGTCTCTATAAAACAGCTGAATTTGAATCAATTCAAATTCAAGCCAATATGTTCTGTGATCTGCTGTCATGGTTATTAGGATGGTAAATAGTTTGCCAGCTGAGAGCAAAATGCATCTCTTTGTTAAATGGTAGTTGGAGCAGGATGAGTATTATACATACATACAAAAACATTTTTTCTGTTTTAATAATTTATTAATTTGTATAATTCACATAATAATTCAATAGTCATCAAAGGTGTTTTGTTGGAAGCATATTGACACTTTTAAAAATGTTAACTGTTATCATTTTTCCAGCTATATAGTGCCACCCCCCACCCCCGCCCCCGCCCTTATCATTTTTCCAGCTATATATTGTTCCCCTCCCCCTTTTCAGGCTGCTGTCTTCTGCCAGCTGTGGTCAATGTGACGGTAAGCTGAGTTTTAGGGTGACAGGTGTAAGTGAGCGATAAGTAATGGCAGGCTGAGGCCAACCCAGTCAAAACAATACGCATGAGTAAATGTACTCTACACACAGACACCCATTTCACTGAAGAGCATCTTTCGACACGGTGGACCACCTGGCTAGGCATTATGTAGCCTTGGTCTGCATGGGTCTGGCTGACTATTGACATGATGTATTAACCCACCACTAAGATCCATGTGCTGTGGTAGTGACATAGCCACCTGCTAGCTCTGGGCTGCCGCCAGCCACTGGAAAACTGACAGTGAGGCTTTTTATTTTAGCTCTGAGACTTCTTACGTAACAAATGTTGCATGTTTTGCAAGTTAATAATTAACACAAATATACGACTTGAGTTTTCTAATTAGGCTTCTTGTGAAACTAAATAAAGATGAATCAAACTAACGTTCAGAAAATTCTC